AGGAGCAGCGCCTGTGGCTCAAAAGGGTAGGGCGCCAGTCGCATATGCCAGAAGTGGTGGGTTCAAACCCAGCCCCGGCCAAAAACTGCAAAAAAAAAAAAGTTAACAGGCCCAATGTAATGAAAGCTATGATTACCTTCATGCTTCAGTCAGAGAAGAGCTCTATCTCATGGTTTGAGACCAGCTTGAACAAGAGCGAGACCCTCGTCTCTACTAAAAACAGAAAAAACAAAGGCAAGAGGATCACTTAAGCCCAAAAATAAATTGGAGGTTGCTGTGAACTATGATGACACCACGGCACTCTACCCAGGGGAACAGCTTGAAACACTGTCTCAAAAAAAAAAAAGAGCTCTATCACCACAGCCCAAGTGCATTTCAGTGCCTCCCCTCCCATAGTCATAGCTCACAGCAACCTCAAACTCTGGGCTTCAAGTGATACTCATCCCTCAGCCTCTCAAGCAGCTAGGACTACAGGCGCTCACCACCACCCCAGCTAGTTTTTCTATTTTTTGTACAGACACGGTCTCACCCTTGCTCAGGCTGGTCTTGAACTCCTGAGCTCAAGCGATCCACCAGTCTCACCCTGGCAGGGTGTAAGAATTACAGGCATGACCCACGGCGCTCAGCCTCATAGTTTCCTTTTAGAGAAGATGAATGACTATTCCATTCCCTTGCTTACCCAGAAAAGGACCACAAGCTATTCATCCAACTTTCATGGGAGTCAGCACTTGAGTGAACAAGATTCTGGTAAGAAAGCAACAGGGGCTGAATTTGGGCCAGATTCTGGACAGTAAATAGGAGATAATCTATGGGCAAGAGGGATTCCTCAGTGGCTTCAGAGTCAGGGGGTGACACAGCCACAGCTGTGCTTTAATAAGATGATGGACTGGGGGCAAAGACAGGAAAGAGGTCGTTAGAAAGGGGGTCAAAGGGTCCAGACACAATATACTGCATGAGCTGAAGAGAGAACAACTAACACCTACACAGGAGTTTTGCTACAGATAGGAAAATGGAGGGACAGGGAAAGAATACTGTTAGCATGTTTTCTTTTTGCATTGTCTTACAATTCCCAAAGTGCTTCATTTATAAGTGAGATTTTTCAAGCCTGGCTACAGAATAGACTTATCTGGAGCAGTTTTAAAAAATACCAATTCCGGCTCGGTCCCTATGGCTCAAGTGGCT